TCTTTCGGCCCCAATGTAGACCCATTCGTAAGTCCGGGAGGTCAGAACCCTGAGAGCAAATCCCCGCTTCTTGAGTAGGGAGCGAGAGGCGCCTGCAGCAGCGAGGGCTTCTGTTCACTGTCACTTTCACTGCGGGTCCACTTACGGGGTCGCAGTGCTGCGCCTCAGGGGAACGTTGCCAAAATCCCATGTGACCATCAGAGAGAAAAAAATCGGGAAAAAGCGGCGTATGGGAGATAAAAGTATGGGCGGCCAAAGCGTTCAGACTCGGTCCCTGTCGAAATGCGCGTGCTGGTACTGACGCCTTAGAAAAACTTGAAGTGAACGAGCGCGGCGGGGACTTCCTCCGGCTTCATCTCCCGACGAGGAAGATGATGGGCTCGCTCTCACGCCACGCCGCTGTTGCATGTGATATTGCAACCTCCATGTAGGCGGTAATGGTGGTGGTAATGACGACGACGGGGTGATGATGAAGATGAGGACGATGATGTAATGATGATGACGATGAAGTGATGATGATAATGATGATGAACATGGTAGTGATGATGTTGATGCAATGATGATGATGTGATGATGATGGAGGTGGTGGTGGTGATGATGAGGGTAATGATGATGACAATGATGATGTGCATTTTGATGTACTGGTGAAGAAGGGAATGAGGATGGCGTTGAAGATGTATTAGTTAGGATGAGATACTACGTTTGCGTTACTGATGACAAGGGTAATAATTGTGCTGCTGCTGAAGATAATTATGAATAGGAGAATGAAGACGTTGAAGATGATTGTTATTGTTATCATGATTATTATTATTATTACTATTATTTTTTCACCATCATTATTATCATCATCATCATTATCATTACTGTTACCATCATTAACATTATTATCATCTTTGCTCTTATCATTATCATTACTATTTCATAATTATTATTATTATTATTGCTATCATTATATCATTATTATCATTTTGATATCACAATTGTTATTACCACTGTCATCATTATTATCATTATCAATATCATTATCATCTTTATCATAAATCATGTTATAACAATTACTATTGCTATCATTATCATTACAGTCATTATTATGATCATCAACATCATCCTTAGCATCGTCATCATAATTCATCATCATCAATCATCGTTAACATTATCATCACCATTTTTCTTGCCATCATTATCTGAATTATCCTGAGTTTAAATATTATCGCATTAATAGCGTTAGCGGAGCCGAGAACACCTGGCATCCCGGGGCCTCCCTGGGAGATCCCCGATTCTGTCAGTCACGTTGAAAGACCGAAACCTTTCTTCCGTTTCCTCATCATCGTCACTTACATCATCCTCGTCTTCTGCTTCTTTTCCTCTTTCCTTTCTAACACGTAATGATGAAGAGTTATTTATTTTGTGTTTTTTTCCTAATTTTGCAGGTGACCTGGTTGATCTTGGCAACTGCCGCGTGCTCGCTGGCCCGGGCGGCGCCGCAGGGAAAGTGTAAGTTGAATCTCGTCGTGTAAGTCTGTATTCATTGCTTCTCTCTTTTAAACAATACATAAGTCACTTACATATTCCAGTTGTAAAACCAGTTTCATGAAACAATATATATCCAATGCTATAATTTAGTCATCAGTGCGATAAAGAGGGAAAGAAAAGACGATAAGGCTGATATCAGGAGTCACAATCAGCTAAACTGTCACCGCCTTCTACACGTCTTACGAGGAGCGCTTTCTCCCGCGCCGACCCGTCCGTTACGTAGCAGTTTTAGGTGTTATTATAATTAATCCTTGAGTCATGTTTCTTTCCCTCGTTATTGTTCCTTTCTATTTCGGCAGTTGTGTAACCCTCACACACAGACAAGCATTATGGCCAATTTCGAATGATTTTACGTATAGCATTTAGTCGCCAATATAATGAATATGATGTCTTGGTCACGCCTGCCGCCATTGCAAAAGCGATCCACTTAATCCGTCTGAGGTCTTTTAAACTCCTTAATGCTTTCACCACCGCCACAGCAACGACAAATAATGATAACAGTAGAAAGGCAACGAATAAGTAATTTCAGATGCAGGTCGCCTCTGATTGCACAACCGAGGTGAAAGTTTGTTCAAATACGACCAGAACGGAGATTAGGCAACCCCTTCGCCGGGATAAACAATCGGTTTTTGTTGGTAATGCTCAGCTTCACTTTCCTCGTCAGCTTGTCATCGGATCGCCTGGTGTTTGCGTTGACCAAGCGTGGGATCATCTGCTTTTCTAATTGTTATTCTCTCTCCGCTTTGCAGTCGACCCCAGGAGGGCCGTGGAGCAGCACCTGCCGACGGGCAACGTGGTGACGTCGATCTCCAAGGCAACGGTGCAGGGTGAGGACGGCCGCTCCGCCCGGAATTCCTGGAGCGCTCTCGCGGCCGCTTGCGGTTGTCGCATTGCCTGGTGCCGTGTCATATGACGCTCATGCATCATGCTGACATTCATTAATATGCGCAAAATTATGACAATCGCTTTAAGAGTGATTATAAGATTCATAAAAATTCTGGGCATACTGATGATAAGAAGAGTTATGATTATTTTTGACAAATAGTAATAACAACAACCGCAATAATAGAGCTGATATAGATAACGACAGTAATGATAGTAATAAGTACATAAGTATGTTGATTGCTATCATTATCACAGTCACTGTTCTATCAATTATAATAAATATCAATACCATTGTCATTACAATAATCACGAACATTAAGCTCATTCAGTATAAAAATATTGATATTGATAAAAGCAGTGATAAGAGATCCACGGCTATCAGTTGTTAAGGGTGTATGTATACTTGCATACATACATACACACATATATGTATATTTGTGTGGGTGTGGGTATTTGTTTGTGTGTGTATATATGTGTAAATGTATTTATGGAGGTATATATATATATATATATATATATATATAATATATATTATATATATATATATATATATGTGTGTGTGTGTGGTGTGTTGTGTTGTGTGTGTTGTGTGTGTGTGTGTGTGTGTGTGTGTGTGAATACACACACACACACACACACACACACACACACACACACACACACACACACACTATATATATATATATATATATATATATATATATATGATATATACACACACACACATATGTTTGTGTACTTATGTATGTATGTATCTGTGTGTGAATGCACCTTTGTATGTGTGACATTTCTTCCTAATGAAATTTGACACCGGAAACTAAGACCTTGATAACGCCTAAGCCTCGCCTCCGCTCACCAACGTTCGTTCCGCAGGGCATGTTGTGGACGAAGGCCAGATATCGGTGGACGATCTGTTCCGCCAGCTGTCGGACTCAACCCCGGCGACGCCGCCCGGCGCCCCGCCCGCAGCGTCGGTGTTCCCGACCAGCAGTAGCGTCGCGACCCAAGCCTCGACGAACGCGCTTCCCGCGTCGCCGACGTCTATTCCCACGCAGCAGACTCCGGTGAACAGACAAGGGCTCCTGAGCCTCCCAGGCCGCCCGGCCACGGGGAATGTCAACATCTTCATCGACGACAGGCTCCGCGAGACCTTTGAAAACGACGACATATTCCTTGAAAATGCTTTCCAACCACAGGGTTCTGCCGGCGTGGCTTTGCCTGCGCTGAACAATGCCCCAGGAGGCAGCAACAGTCAGAACTTCGGATCTCTCCAACCTACTGGACAAAGTGTTTTCATCTCCAGTGGGGGGAACTCTGCGCCAAATTTAAACGCAATTCCTCTCGGTTCTTTGAGCCCAACTGGAGGACCTCGGACATTCTCGGGAAACCAGAATGCGCCTCCTGTCGGGACAACAGGTAGCATCGGCGTCCCTCTCCCAGTCTTCAACAGTGGCGCCAACCTCAACTCCGGGGGATCTTCGGGAGGCAGGCCCAAAAACTTCGTAACGCCAGTCCCATTCTCACCCAAGCCAGTTACCCTCACACAATCAGCAGTCAACATCAGCCCTCTTCCTGCACAGCCTAAATTCACGCAGACTCCGAGCATCACTTCTCATCAGACAACGCAAGCCACCTCTAAGCCGACAGTCATCAGTAAATCAGCATTAACGACCAAGCCTCTGCCAGTATTATCAACAGCCAACACTCCATCAGATTCTCCATTCTTGGACAGCTTTACAAGTGCGCCTACTTCTGCCACTGCTAAGCCTCCTGCTCACACATCCTTTGGGTCCCGGGATCTCTCGGCATCGCTGCTGACTTCTCTGCTTAGCAGCTTGAGCAACAAGATCACTAACCCCAACCAGACCTTCGGCAACTTCCTCAAGTCCATCAGCGGCCAGAACGGGGTCCTCGTGCTGCCCTCCTCGAGCCTCGGGAAGTCGGCAGACAGTTCGTTCGACAGCAGCCCGTCCTCCTCGCAGTCCTCCTTCTCAATTGACTTCGGGTTTGACACATCCTCGGACGACGCGCCGAACGCCTCCCAACTTGATCTCGACTCTGACGAGTCCGACCCCGCCCGGGTCAGTATCGCAAGCAGCGATGATAACGCCCTGAGCTTGGGCGGGAGCGATACCAAGACGCAGAGCAGCGCCGGCACCACCAGCGTGGCCGTGGAGACCACCACGGAACCCATCGCGAAAGTCAAGACGCCGGTGTCTCTGTTCCGCGGGCCGCTCTCCGACATCCTGTTCACGAAGGGCCAGTGGCTCGGGACGCTCGTCGGGGGGCTGGTCGACATCAGCAGAACCGTCGTCGGTAAGATCAGGGAAGGGGCCAGGAAGACAATTCGCAAGCCATAATGGCGCATGTTCAAGGTTCAAGGGCCTTCTGAGAAAGGACGCTGCCCTCCTTGCGAAACAAGTTTCATGTTCATTTTTGTGCTCACATAACATGATATAACAGTATTTTCGTTATTGTTAACTTTTGATATAGTTGCACTTTGTTAATGCATTTAGATATTGTTGTAGACTCTCCCAACTTGTGTAGATGACTGGGTAAATAAAATCCATGGTTATTTCGAA